GAGCATAGCATGAACAACTTCATTTGAATATCTGGAAAAATATCAAAGTTAGAAAGAAAAAAAAAGAAAAGAATGTTCTCTCTTATGATGTGGTGAAATTCTTCAATTTTTTTACATATTAGTGCCGGGAATTGTGGATGGGTCAGAATAGACAGAACCTGTGGTTCCATAGGTTTAATTGAACCAATTAGGCTCTAGAAATATGTGTGTGGTCCAGCTTGAGGTCAACCCTAATTCGACCCAACCACCATTATCCCTAAGTCCCTAACCAAAKCCATTAATAAAAAATATGTCAGGTTTGGTTTGGGCTGTATTCCCAAGAAACACAACTAATCCAACCCCAAATGCCCAAAATTAAAACAGGTTTATATTTTTTAAGCCTCACAGTAAATCAAAGTCCAAACGTAAACGTAGTACAATCAAGTTTGATATTTTACCGAATTGGATTAGCGTTGACCCATCCTAAATCGAATGCACGGTCTTTTTTTTTTTTTTTCCTTTTGACATTAAATAACTTGCCTTTTGCCCTCATGGGCTGTATTTCAATTTTACTTAACATGGTGCGCTACTTATTTTCCAGCAACATAAATAGTTATTGTCAAAAGTGGTGTAATACTAACAGCGCTCGAAACCACATCTAGCGCAGTTTACTTGTTAAAGAATCTAGCTCTAAAAGAAATTTAAGAATCTAGTTTCAAGATATTTTCAACGTGAAACATGAGCCATGAATGAGAACCGCTTCAAGATATAAAATACTTTTTGTGCGTACTTCACCATTATTTTGATCGGACAAGTACGGATACACACATACAGAATTCTGAATTCCAACCCCCCCTACTAGTAGCCCTAGATGCATTTTCTTATACTTTTGTCATTATACACAGTGGACCCCACGAAAATTGACTCTTCTGTCTCTCTTCTCTCTCATCATGTACATGCCTATGACTGTGAATCACTCGTTGTGTCTTCTTTGTCCTCAACCGCAAAGGAAGACGATTGATCTGGACTCTCTCTCCTCCCAAGCAATTACGACAAAACGTCTTCTGAATAGACGATTGATCTGGACACACACTCTCTCTCTTCCCAAACTACTACCACTCGACTCGACATGACGTCTTCCTGATTAGAYATGGGCACCGATACAATCATTCATTTAGTATAGCTGGATTCTGCCACGTGGTCGCCAATTGTACTCGGCTGGATAGGAATGGCATCTGACGCAGATACGGTTAGGTGGGTACTGATCTTATACGGTGTCCCGCTTGAGACCTTCACATTAGGAACCAATTCGACGGTTCACACGTAACATCTCACTGATCTGGATTCTGGAATCTAGAGACCAATGAGTACATGAAATGAAACGACGCTGTGTACTCAATCTGAGCCATTCACTTGGCTTATAATTGCAATATCCAATCGCCATCTGATTTCCACGCAAATGAGAGTGATCCAACTTAACGATCCAATGTGCTGCTAACCATCGGGTCATTTTCTGGCAAAAGCCGGTTTGGATAGTAGATGCATCTCTATCTTGTTATGGACAAAATAGGCAGTATAATGAGGAAAACGACAAATAAAATGTCTCGACTCTTGACCCGACGGTGAATGACGCCTGTAAGTAGATTTATATTGCCACGTGTCACGGTAGTCTATTAGACAACGAAACCCATGTCGCTGTACCTCATACTTCTGCATGCTCTGTGAAAGAAGGGAAAAGGCGTAATTCGTCACCGTGGTTTTGTTTTCAATGTAATGGTGATCGGTCATGTTTTGAAAATAGATAAGAACGTCTAAAGAAATGCATACCTACATATATGTTTGTCTAATTTGGAACCAATTTTGCTTTTGAATCTTAGGCTGTATTTTGTTGCAGTGCAAATTTATTTATACTAATATAAATATAAATTCTTATTTAATTTAGTTTACTTTGTTCTGTTTTATGTCTTAATTTATTTCATTTATATTACAATCAAACAAAATAAGCTAAAACTTAAAATAAAAATGGGTCAGAATTTACACTCAAATCATTTGTATTGYTATGATTTTGCATCAATGCAAATTCATTTGCATTGCAACCAAATACAGTTGAAAAATGCAACTAGTTGCACGAAATAAATCAGGAGAGGATCCCACTTTGTTTTCAGGGCAAAGTATTCAAAGAGTTGCACAAAAGTCGTTGTTTATTAGCATTTGCTAAGGTCAAAATGTAAAGGGTCTTAATTGATGCCAAAGCACAATTTCCGCCCAACTAGATAATTGGAATTAGAATGGACCCTTCAGATTCTGATTCCCGGCCCCTATTTTCATGCATCAAACAGATCCTAATAGTATTATAACAGGATGTATAGAATATAAATTTTTACAAAACCATCAATATGTTATCATTTATCTAAACCAAACTATTAAGTAAAAAATTAAAGAAAATAATTTATTTGTGTGCTCCTTCAAGGTGATGGAGAAAATAGTAGAAGTTATTTAATTTGAATATTGCTTAAATTAATGTGGAGATTGTTGAATTTTCACAAATTTGCCTTGAAATTCAATGTATGTGCAATCATTTTTTATTTTGACTTGTTTTTATTTGGCCGTGTAATACAATTATGAATCTGTTTAAGAGAAATGACATGGTTGAGATGGGACCATATCAACCATTATCCAATGAATTATTTGGGGAAAAAAGTCCAACAGACCTAGAGATCTTCACATTATTAGACATTGTAGTTGTGGCCCCAAAAGTTGTGTATATTCTCCTCATCGACTTTTGTTGACGCCTTGACGGGCAAGTTTTGACTTTCAATTTGAAAATCACCTGTCGTCTATCCAAATTAATAAGCTTTTTACTGTTTTCTCATTGAAAAAAAATAAAAAAAGTTTTCAATAAAGAAAGTCTTAATACTTGATTTTAGTGACTTGGCTGATGTGGACTGAGAGATAAATACGTGGATAAACTAACAGCACAAAATGAATCCTAAATTGTACTCTCTTTTGTCTTTACTAAAGAACCCATCGGACAGCTCTTTAATATATACCAATAATGATGTAATCTGTGCAACTATATTGGTTTTGTGTCGGCCCAAGGAGGGAGAGAGAGAGAAAATTTATTAGGGAGAATAATTATCTAAATTTTCTATTATTTCACTTCTATACGGAGGTCCCTTTGAGAATTGAGGTCAGAATAGATTATTGGCTTGGCTCTCTCTTTCCTCAAAATAAAAAGGAYGTGTTTTTTTTTTTTTTGGTATAAGGCGGTGCGGTGGTTGTATATCACCACTTTTATTTATGACTGTATAAAGTGGATAATTCACTTTTGCCAAAAATTCAAGAGTGGAAGTCTACAATTTGGAAATTATTAATCTGACTTTAACTTTGGTTTGGACTAGGTTTGAGGCATTGGACAACCCAACGTTGTATCTGCATGTATTAATAATTTTATTTCTRWGCGCAATTTCTAATATGCACCGTAACAAAATATTAGTCCCATCTGGTTTGCGGGAATAGGGGTCTAGAATAAGAATTTAAATTAGTTATTCTAATTTCAATTATTTAGTTCGGCGGAATCGAAATCTTATTTTAATTCTTGATGAAATGACATTCTCAATGATCATTCACTCTCTTTTTCTTGAGAATGAAATCTCAATTTAGCTGATACCAATTCTCATTTTGATTCCTATTAAACCAAACCAACTATTCTCTAATTTCGATTTTAACTATAAATCAAATGAACCCTTAATTTATATATTAAAATGGAATAAAAATATAGAGATGTCAGACAACCTTAACCCAACCCGATTCATCCGCCCCGACTTACACCCATTTGCTGTGTGCATATAACTTCGAAGATACCACAATCTCGTGGATACCCGAATATGGAAAGGGACCTTGAAAAAGTGACAGACTGAGAGTATATAAGCTGATGGGGCTATATGCCTGATCAAAAATCACTTTTACCGGAAAAATCTTTTTCTTGCCAAATTAATCCCCTTAAAATTTTGGAAAGTTGAGTAAATTCCAGTTTTGGACTTTTATGATTACACACTCTCTAGAAGCTTCTAATGTAACAGGTAAAAGATAAATAACAGATTTCTTACCCGTTGGCCGCAGGCTGCGTAAAACAGTTGGCCCCCTTCTGCTATTAGTTATTACTTATTACCCAATCCGTTGGCCGCATAAGCATAAAAGTATAAAAATATTTTAGGATTTTATTTCCCATTCTGTTGGCTTCTTTTCGTATGCATGTTAATGAACTCATTCATTCCGTCACCTTTTACATAGTCAAACACTTAACTTCTCAAATTTGTATTTTATTTTTTATTATTTTATTTATAAGCCGGCATAAAATATGATTTAACGAGGTATATTGGCATACCTTCCGGTTAATTATTTATTATTATAATTACTTTGATATTATTAATAATAATAAAGCTATCAAATCTAGGGGCATATTCGTCATGTTGTAAAATGGTGGAGGTTAACTGGTTATGYTGAACTCGTACGTATAGACGACGTACGTTTGCAGCATATCCTCCTTGGTATTTCTTCGGCCAACCCAAAAATAGCACAATATACGAGATTGCTACGTCATCACTCACCACTCACCACTCACCAGGGTTGTGGAGAGAAGCGAATGCGATGGCTAGCTTTGGTAAATTCAGCATTTAAGCCTCGTGTATTTATTTTGCTGGGGCGAGCGAGGCGCGGTCGCGGAGGCTCGGAACCGAGCCTACACTGGTAGGCGGGGCGGCTAGCAAGTAGCAACAGCATGGTCCGGTGGGGGCCCACCATGAGCGGCTGTCGCGTGCCGCATAGCGCAATGATCCACGTGGCATTGACGAAAGAATCCTGGCTGTCATGTTATTAGCAGCAAATGTGTGGGATCCACACCGTTCGCGGTAAGTAGACGAGTTCGAGGGCTGGGATGGAGAGATGGGATGATGGGGGTTGGTGGTGGCCCACCCCTAAATATCCTTATAAATAGCATGTTTCTCTTCGGCCGAGTGAACGGAGAAAATTAGAGAAGAGTTAGTTGTCGGCCGAGTGAAGGAGTCTCTCGCTGCTCGCTCGCGCTCAGTCTGTCTGCTACACAGCCTTTCTTTTTTCTATTATTTAAGATTAAGAAATTTGTTTTCGACTTTTCGTTCCCAACGCTTTGAAAATATTCTGTAAATTTAGCTGAAAATCCGCACCTGCGATCGATCAGCTGGGACCTTTGTGGAGAATCGGAGCTGGAGTTGTATCTGATTTTCGTTAACGATTTGGTTTTTAATCTCGGAGAAATAAGAGAGAGAGCACCGTTTTCTAGTTTTAAAACCATTCAGATCTGTTAAGTTAGCCTGGTGTTTTAAACTGATTTAGATGCAGGTGTGACTTGTGAGCATCTGCTGGTGATCTCTGGGGGTTTTYCCTTTCTGTGTAGTGTTTATCTTGTACTCTGAAGTCTGAAGGTTAAGGAACATCAGTCTGAGACTTGGGGAGTTCCCTATCTCTTTCTCCCATCTCTTGTTGATTGACTTCCTTGTTGATCTCTGATCTTTCTTTCCTTCCTTTTTCTTTTGTTCTTTTTAACCAGAGCCCTTTGAAGCAAAGAAAAAAAAACATCGTGAATAGAGAAACCGATCTGTAAAAGGAAGTCAATTTTTTTAATCCCCTGAAACGAACTCTTCTTTGGAAGTCCCTATAAAGATCTTGATCTTTTAGGCATGGCAGCCATTCCGGGTTCATCCTTCCAACTCCGAAACAAATCGGTCGGCCTGCCTTCTCCTGGCCGCCCATCCTTAAAAAATCAACGGAATTTCGTTCCTTTCAGTAGCCGTGAGAGCAAAGCCTCATGTTGCTCCGCAAGGACACGACATAATGTTGTGGAGAAGAAGTTCTTTGGGACGGGATTGCGTCAATCGGGTCCCGAAAGACTTCATCTATGGCGATCGGACGGCCCTGGACGTTCACCAAAGCTCAGAGTCGTAGTTCGCTCGGCATTGTCTAAGGTGCCGGATAAGCCACTCGGTCTGTATGATCCCTCATTCGACAAAGATTCATGTGGAGTTGGATTTGTAGCTGAGCTGTCCGGTGAAACAAGCAGGAAAACAGTAAGCTTCTATGCTTTAAAAAAAAGTATTCACAATATTAATTGTTTTTGCTTGATTTTTGAAACCTGTTATGTGCGGTCTCTGTTTACAGGTGACGGATGCACTGGAAATGTTGATCCGGATGTCCCATAGAGGTGCTTGTGGTTGCGAAACAAATACCGGTGATGGTGCTGGCATTCTTGTAGCTCTTCCTCACGGCTTCTTCACGGAGGCATGCCATTTTTTTTTTCTTTCCTGTTTTCTCCCTTTGTCCTCAAAATAATGAGACCAATTATTTTGCAGTTGAATCCCATTTGTTTTAGCTCAGTTCTATATCTATTGGTATTGAGTTTGTTGTTTGTTTCTTATTTATCAGGTTGCTAAGCAAGTCGGGTTTGAGTTGCCACCACCAGGCGAGTACGCTGTTGGCATGTTTTTCTTGCCAACATCAGATACTCGCAGGGAAGAAAGCAAAAAAGTATTTACAAAGGTAATWTCTTGCGACTTGTGAACCAATGTCGCAGGATTTTTTTTGCTGCTACTGTGCTATTTCGTTTCGGACGTTTCCATTTTCTTTTTCTCATCTCTATCTCTCATATCCACTTTCTTGGTAAGCCTTGTCCCAAATATAGGGGTCGGCTACATGGATTTTTATAAAATTGTAAGGATGGATATATTAATTTTGGCAAGTCTATATCTAGGTTCGATATGCATTGAAATTCTAATCATGTAACATCAATTTCACATGTTTTGAGTTTCTGGTTTTCCTGTGTGTGTAATTTTGTAAATTTGCTCTCATTAATGTGGATCCATGTTCTCTTCTCTTTATATTTGCAATCAATTATATTGTCTAATAACTTTTGTTTTGGTAGGATTAATGATTTACAGTTGTCCATAACGAAAAACAAAAAAATTATGACAGCATATATGAAACTGCCCTTTTATTTTGTTCTAAATGATGTGATAACATTTATACTTTCTGCTTTTATGTAACTACAAACCTTCTCCCTCCCTGAATCTATTGGTGTGGGTGTCATTGTTCCATGTGGGGTACTTTCTATTTTGAAGCATTTGGCATTTGAATTGTTGCTCCTTGTAGCAATTTTTTGTTCAAACGAATTGTGAATCAGATCTAGATCTTCCATATCCTGTATCCTATTTTGTTTTCCTGACTATTCAACCTGGATTTTTGTAAGAGAATTATATATTGTTGACTATGTCATATTAGCTGAGGACGTTATTATAATATGGCAAGTGGCAGTTCTATTTTTTGAGCATCTAGGAACTTTCTGAGAAGTGAGTACACGATAGAATTCTTTGCAAAATTTATGTAGATTATTAACTTTTCCAGGAGAAAACTGGACTATGAATCCGTAGAGCTTCTTTGGAAAATCTGAAGAAGCTGGTAATTTGAACTCCTGTCCAGGAACAAAGACACTGCTACAAGGTTTGTTCTGAAGTTCATGTTCTAGATGCCTAGACATGATTACTGGTATGTTCATTGATATTGAAATAAGGATGCTACTCTGCATTTCTCAAAATCCGGGACATTAATACAGGTGTCAATTTGCTGTCCAAGTCCAATATGATGACATCATGCTTTTATGTTTAGTTTTTTTTTTTTTCACTTTGGTACTTGGGATATTTTCAATATTCCTAGCCACCATATTCATTGGAGCTTCTAGCATTTATAAAGTTTCTTATGATTTGTTAAATATACTATTATATATCTTAGATGTATCTGTTATACATTCTAGCGTATATTTTCCTCACACAGTACTTTTTTATTCCTATGTTCTTTTTTGGTATGTAATTCTATGTTGTTGACTCTACATGCAGGTTGCAGAGTCATTGGGACATGTTGTTCTTGGGTGGCGTTCTGTTCCTACAGATAATACAGGATTGGGCAAATCTGCTCTGCAGACAGAACCTGTTATTGAACAAGTTTTTCTTACACCAAGTTCTAGGTCAAAAGCTGGTTTTGAGCAACAGGTTGCTATTTCTTTTTTTTTTTTTTTATATCACTTGGTTTGCTTAAAATGTAGCTTTTTACATCTCACGATTGGTATAGTGGAATGAATGCCTTGTCATATCTTTTTCATTTGGTCCAGTTATACTTCCAATTAGTTGGCTCTATTTAGGAGCTTTCTGAACCAAAATTAGTTATTCCTGATATTCCTAATTATCTTAGTGGAACCCTCATTCCAAGCACATCAAGAGGGATAATGTAACATGTATTTGATTGTATGCCTTTTTTTTGCTATGGTTCCATTTGCAGATGTACATATTAAGAAGGGTATCTATGGTGGCCATCAGAGCTGCTTTAAATCTCCAACATGGTGGAGTGAGGGACTTTTATATATGTTCTCTCTCTTCAAGGTACCCCTTAAAGAAACTTGTTTAAAATTTTTAACTGAAATTATAATTTGAGTTTGATGCAGCTTGAAACTTGTTGCTTGATTATTTATGTTCATTCTTCCACTCTGAGTCTCGCAGGACCATTGTCTACAAAGGTCAGCTAAAGCCCGATCAGCTAAAGGATTATTACTATGCAGATCTTGGCGATGAAAGGTTCACAAGCTACATGGCCCTTGTAAGTATATTGCCCATTCTCCTTGTTTCTTTCTTAAAAAGTTCCATACTAAAATAGAAGGCAGCATAGAGAAGTTCTTCTAAGGCATAAAAAAATTGAAATGATTTTTTAAGAATTCCTACTCTCTTGCTTACTGTTTTAAGTTTGGATGCTGGATTGGATGCCATGGATGAGTTGGTGAGAAACCTTTTAATGGAGTAAACCATGAAGTAGTGCTCCTCCACATTGCTAATTCTTGAGGATGAGATTCAATATGGATGTAGAAAGGAAATTTTGTTTTGTTAAGGTAGCTTAGGGTTCTTATTTTGTGTTGTACTGTCACTGCAAATGCATAAAAAGGTATATTGCTTATAGGGTTTCCTTAATAGAATTCATGTTTATTCATCACAAGTCAAGAAAGACATATGCAGAAATATGTGTGACATCATGGGTTTATCTCATATATGTGCAGATCCATTCTCGGTTTTCAACAAACACTTTTCCTAGCTGGGATCGTGCTCAACCCATGCGCATCCTCGGCCACAATGGGGAGATTAACACACTTCGTGGCAACATAAATTGGTATGCTGACTACTTGGTTTATCATAGGTGCCATTGTATTTTTTTTAAGCCATTAACTGATTATTCATTTCTCAAAAACCTGTATAGTGTGTGGAGCTTATGTGTCTGTAGCTGCATAGCTACTTCATGTCCTATCAATCAAAAAATGCAAATACATTGACTACTTAGTATTTAAAAGTTTCTGAATATATAAATCTATTTGTATTTCTTGGTCATTTTCTATGCCTTGCACAATATGAGGAAGCTGGGCATGTTGTGTTTTCATGTGTATATGTTTCTGGTATCATACCAGATACTGTATGTATATGTTTCTGGTAGTGAAGGCATGAAAGATATGAAGGATAGGTCTGTGTTTTATAGGATTTTTTCCATTATTTGATTATGGACCTTACATATCTGTGTTATTTCCATGGGATAATTTGAAACAGAAGGTGAATGGATGTCATTCTTAGGTTTTTATTTTATTTTATTTTTTTTCTGCATATGGATTATGTTCTTTCCCTTGGTTTCAGTATTGCTTATTGAGGTTGGACATCTGACTGCCCATTTGATTTATCCCTAATGATTCTCCTTGTTTTCCTCCATTCAGGATGAAAGCACGCGAGGGTCTATTGAAGTGCAGAGAGCTTGGATTATCAAAAAATGAGATGAAGAAACTTTTACCAATCGTTGATGCCAGTTCATCTGATTCAGGTGAGACTATGAACAATTTTGGTACATGTGTTAACTTTAATTGGGTTGGGATGAGAACATGGGCGAATTTGGTTGAGGTTCCAGCACTTCAAACCCCTAATAATGTGTCAATTAATCACACCAAAGTGTGACATTAGGGCTGCAACAAGTTACACCCATCATGGCTTGAAATCGCCCATCACGATGGACAACTTCTTGCCATTGATATTAGGGTTCGGTGTGTTACGACTTCAACCAAATTACAGTTGTGTSATCTGAACTAATAGGTAATTAAAGCAATCATAAAACACAATAAAAAATACACAAAAGGAATGCTGTAAAGGTAAGGCCAAATTACTAACTGACAGGCAGGTTACTAATGCATGCTCATATACTACATGTGTGTATTTCCCAAGAATATATGGAGGAAGAAGGGCAGTTCTTGTACATAGATAGGTAAGCTTAATTTTCTCTACGTTTCTTGCAGGAGCTTTTGATGGTGTCCTTGAGCTTCTTGTTCGTGCTGGGAGAAGTCTCCCTGAAGCTGTCATGATGATGATACCTGAAGCATGGCAAAACGACCAGAATATGGATCCAGATAGAAAGGCCTTGTATGAATACTTCTCAGCTCTTATGGAGCCATGGGATGGACCTGCCCTTATTTCATGTAAGAGATGTTATGAGATTTGGTACTACACAAATTTCCTTCTCAACTTGTGCTATAACCTATGTAGAAAATTTGCAGTTACTGATGGCCGCTATCTGGGAGCCACATTGGATCGCAATGGACTGCGTCCTGGTCGCTATTATATTACACACAGTGGGAGAGTTATCATGGCAAGTGAAGTTGGTGTTGTAGACATCCCCCCTGAAGATGTCTGCAAGAAGGGAAGGCTAAACCCTGGAATGATGCTTTTAGTAGATTTTGAAAAACATATCGTTGTAGATGATGCAGCTCTGAAGAAGCAGTATTCCCTAGCAAGGCCATATGGGGAATGGCTGAGAAAGAAAATTGAACTGAAGGACATAGTCAACTCTGTTCATGAATCTGATAGGGTTCCACCAGCTATATCTGGGGCAGTTCCAGTGAGTCAACTTACTTATTTCTTGCAGTCTCATCTCTTCTTTATTGTGCTCTGTAGTGAATTCTGATTCTGGTTCAACTATATTATGATCTTAGGCATCTAGCCATGATGACAACATGGAAAACATGGGTATTCATGGTCTATTGGCTCCATTGAAATCTTTTGGGTATCTCCTAAACCCTTTTGGATCATGTGAAAAATTTTATCCACTTGTGCTTTTTCTGTAACCTAAGACACTTTCTTTTCCTTGTGTAGTTACACAGTCGAAGCTTTGGAGATGCTGTTACTTCCCATGGCAAAAGATGGTACTGAGGCTCTTGGCTCAATGGGAAATGATACTCCATTGGCTGTGATGTCAAATAGGGAGAAACTTCCTTTTGAGTATTTTAAGCAGATGTTTGCTCAGGTTACAAACCCACCAATTGATCCAATTCGAGAGAAGATAGTCACTTCAATGGAGTGCATGATTGGTCCAGAAGGGGACCTGACGGAAACCACTGAGGAACAGTGTCATCGCCTCTCACTGAAAGGTCCTCTCTTATCCATGGATGAAATGGAAGCAATAAAAAAGATGAACTACAGGGGTTGGCGAAGCAAGGTTCTTGACATTACTTATCCCAAAAGCCGTGGAATGAAGGGTTTGGAGGAGACCTTGGATAGGATTTGTTCTGAAGCACGTGATGCACTCAAGGAGGGTTATACAACATTGGTACTTTCTGACAGAGGTAATTTTTCGAACTAGATAACTCTCTAATCTTCTAGCTGTGGGAGGACAAGGAAACAGAGTATGTGAAATTTGCATATCTATTACCTTTGAAAAAGAACCACATCAATCAATAATATGACATGACTTTTTGTCATCTGTTACAATGCAGCTTTCTCACCAAATCGTGTTGCCGTAAGCTCTCTGTTAGCTGTTGGTGCTGTGCACCATCATTTAGTCTCAAAGCTTGAGCGTACTCGAATTGGGTTGATAGTAGAATCTGCTGAGCCACGCGAGGTTCATCATTTCTGTACCCTTGTTGGGTTTGGCGCTGATGCAATATGCCCATATTTGGCCATAGAAACCATTTGGAGATTGCAAGTTGATGGGAAAATCCCCCCTAAAGCAAGTGGTGAGTTCCACTCCAAGGAGGAACTGGTCAAGAAGTATTTCAAAGCAAGCACTTATGGGATGATGAAGGTTCTAGCTAAAATGGGGATATCAACATTAGCCTCTTACAAGGGTGCCCAGATATTTGAAGCCTTGGGCCTTTCATCTGAGGTTATCCAGAAGTGTTTCAAAGGGACTCCAAGCAGAGTTGAAGGTGCAACATTTGAAATGCTTGCTCTGGATGCTCTCCAATTACATGAGATGGCATTTCCTACTCGAGCTATGCCTCCTGGAAGTGCAGAGGCTGTTGCGCTGCCTAATCCTGGAGATTACCACTGGAGAAAAGGTGGAGAAATTCATCTCAATGATCCTCTTGCTATAGCAAAGCTGCAGGAGGCTGCTAGATCAAATAGTGTAGCTGCATATAGAGAGTATTCCAAGCGCATACAAGAGCTGAATAAGTCCTGCAACTTGCGTGGGATGCTGAAATTTAAAGAAGCAGAGGTCAAGGTTCCTTTGGATGAAGTGGAACCTGCTAGTGAGATTGTGAAGCGGTTTTGTACTGGGGCCATGAGTTATGGATCGATATCACTTGAGGCTCATACCACCCTGGCGATTGCCATGAACAAACTTGGGGGGAAATCAAATACAGGTAATTGTACTTCATCAAAATGTGAAGTGATAGTTACTGAAGTTTCTATTTGTGCTTCATGGCCTCTCCATGCTTCTACATTATATTAGGTGCCTTAATATTCATAAAAGAAATGAGTTTTAGGGTGACTTAGGATAAGATTCTTCTGATGATTTTCCCCTAGAACATGATTTTAGGCAAWCATTTAATCATAATAATCTCTGATCTAATCTATTGACATTGATTACTCATAGCTTACCTTAGTTTTAGTTATAGGTGAATGTGGTGGGACTGTGGCCCGTCTTTTTTCACTGAACTTTTTTGCTAGATGCATCATTTTATCCCTTTTTAGGGGTGAAGTCCTTGGTTTTACTTTTTGATGAACTTTTCAAGCATTTTCTTGAAATCTTTTAATTTATTTCTTCTACAATTTTTACCATAGGTGAAGGAGGTGAGCAACCATCTCGCATGCAGCCTCTTCCTGATGGTTCAAGGAATCCAAAGAGGAGTGCAATCAAGCAGGTTGCCAGTGGGAGATTTGGAGTTTCTAGCTATTATCTTACAAATGCTGATGAACTACAGATAAAAATGGCCCAGGTAATTGTTTAGTATATATCTTTGCTCCAAAATTGCATCCTTACTTTCGTAATTTTGTAGCTGAGGTTCAAAGTTTCCTATTTTGCCCTTATTGTATTGGAACGGAAGTTCCTCTTGTTTATCGGTTTATGTTCATGGGCAGATGTTGCTGAGTCTGCAAAGCCACCTGTAGGTGTCTTTGCATCTTTAACTGATACCTTTGGCATTTGGTGAGGTTATATATGAACTGGAGTTTTACTTTAGTTACAGGTTGGATTTGTTCTGAAATTAGGGGCTGCATTGTCTTGCAGGGCGCCAAGCCAGGTGAAGGTGGTGAACTTCCAGGCCACAAGGTTATTGGAGATATTGCAGTGACTAGGAACTCTACTGCTGGTGTGGGACTTATTAGTCCACCTCCTCATCATGATATCTATTCCATTGAAGACCTTGCTCAATTAATTCATGATCTTAAGGTGTGTTTCTAAAAGCCTGTTAKTGTAGTATAATTCTCTTTTCATAATGGCCATTTAAAATCTTACTATTATTGTTCTTCCTTGAGATAAGACTTTTTCTGTAGTCATCAATTAGTTATGGTAGTCATTAGCATGAACCATCTAACCCATCTTTTTCCTGTCTCCATCTTCTCCAGAACTCTAACCCTGGGGCTCGAATCAGTGTGAAATTGGTGTCTGAAGCTGGTGTAGGAGTAATTGCAAGTGGGGTTGTGAAGGGCCACGCAGACCATGTCTTGATCTCAGGTCATGATGGTGGCACTGGGGCTTCACGTTGGACTGGCATCAAGAATGCTGGATTACCGTGGGAACTTGGTTTAGCTGAGACCCATCAAACTCTAGTTGCCAATGATCTCCGTGGTCGAACCACTCTCCAGACAGATGGACAACTTAAAACTGGAAGAGATGTAGCCATTGCAGCACTTCTTGGTGCAGAGGAGTTTGGTTTCAGTACTGCCCCTCTAATAACAATGGGCTGTATTATGATGCGGAAGTGCCACAAGAACACCTGCCCAGTTGGTATTGCTACCCAAGATCCTGTTCTCCGCGAGAAGTTTGCTGGAGAGCCTGAGCATGTCATAAATTTCTTCTTTATGCTAGCTGAGGAGGTGAGGGAGATCATGTCTAATCTGGGATTCCGAACTGTAAATGAAATGGTTGGTCGTTCAGATATGTTAGAAGTTGATAAAGAAGTGATTAAGAACAATGGGAAGTTGGAGAACATTGATCTCTCTTTACTACTCAGACCAGCTGCTGACATCAGGCCAGAGGCTGCTCAGTACTGCATTCAGAAACAGGATCATGGTTTAGACATGGCCTTAGATAAAAAACTGATATCTTTAACCAAATCTGCCCTAGAAAAAGCTCTTCCTGTGTACATTGAACTGCCAATTCGGAATGTGAATCGTGCTGTTGGAACCACGCTCAGCCACGAAGTCACTAAGCGCTACCACATTGCAGGGCTTCCCGCAGATACCATCCACATCAAGCTCACTGGAAGTGCTGGTCAGAGTTTTGGAGCCTTCCTTTGTCCTGGGATCATGCTTGAGCTTGAAGGTGACAGCAATGACTATGTTGGGAAAGGCTTATCAGGAGGGAAAATTGTAGTTTATCCTCCGAGAAAAAGCCAATTTGATCCAAAGGAAAACATTGTGATAGGTAATGTAGCTCTCTATGGTGCAACAAGTGGGGAGGCATATTTCAATGGGATGGCAGCTGAGAGATTCTGCGTGCGTAATTCAGGTGCCAAAGCAGTTGTTGAAGGAGTGGGTGATCACGGATGTGAATACATGACGGGTGGGACTGTTGTTGTGCTTGGAAAAACTGGGAGGAATTTTGCTGCAGGTATGAGTGGTGGTATAGCGTATGTTCTTGATGTTGATGAGAAGTTCCAATCTCGATGCAATCTTGAATTGGTGGATCTTGAAAAAGTTGAAGATGAAGAGGATATTATGACACTTAGGATGATGATACAGCAACACCAGCGTCACACAAACAGTGAGTTAGCAAGAGAAGTTCTTGCTGACTTTGACAATCTTCTACCTAAATTTATCAAAGTATACCCAAGGGATTATAAGCGGGTTCTTGCAAACATGAAGGCAGAACAAGCTGCGAAAAAAGTTGTTAGAGAGGCCCAGGAACAAGAAGAGGCAGAATTGATGAAGAAAGATGCTTTTGAAGAGCTTAAAAAGTTGGCTTTAGCATCTTCAAATGATAGAGATAAAGTAAACAAGGTGCTTTTTCTTTCCTATTCTCTTTGGAGTTGCTTCTTTTATTTGCTTCTTGTTTTGTATTATAGTATATAGTATATACCATTTGTGTGCCATGGCATTCCAGGAAAAAAGATTGGGGAACAATATTGTTCATACTGAAAATTCCCATATATTTTGGTAATTTAAAAACAATTCACTGTTTTCATTTTATGCATGTGTAATAATACATTGAACTTTGATGTGCTTGAGTTGATCTGTTATGGTCTATGGGTTCAAAAGTGCAGTAACCTAATTAATTTTGGAAGGTATTATTCACTATTTCCCTATTATTGTATCAACTGAATTGATTGAGTACACTGCATATATAACTCTGGGGAATGGATTATCTTGGCATTATTGTTAAAGAGTTCCTTTAGGCATTAATTTATGTTTACATTCATTAGAGGCTCCATGTGAAATTCATGAATTTTTGACTAGGCTTATATATCTATGTTGGTTCTGATTGTTAGTTTTTCAAGAATTGTTCTTTAATCATATATTTATGCCACTTTCAGAGAAAAGGAAGGAGGGTTTTGTTATTTTTAGAAAAACTAGCTTCAATGTTCTTCAAGAATCTGCTGAACCTTTTGATTTATTTACTTATTTAAAGCATGTTTTATGCTTTGGCTTGGTTACTGGTCTGTTTAATGGTCTGAAGGTTTTGAAATTTTACAGGTTGAACAGGTTGTGGCATCAAAGAGGCCAACTAAGGTTGACAATGCTGTCAAGAATGGAGGCTTTATTGCTTATGAGAGGGAGAGCATTTCTTATAGGGATCCTACTGTTAGGGTTAATGACTGGGAAGAGGTAATGGAGGAGTCCAAACTGGGCCCACTTTTAAAGACTCAATCAGCTCGTTGCATGGACTGTGGGACTCCCTTTTGCCATCAGGTAACAAGCACTTGCATATGGCAGAGCTTTGATATATTCATCATCCCCAACTCAACCAGAATACAGTATCTAGTTGTCTCATACAAAATATCTGCTTCTTTCTTGATTGTTATGCACAGGAAAACTCTGGGTGTCCTCTTGGGAATAAGATACCGGAATTCAATGAATTAGTATACCAAAATAGGTGGCGTGAAGCATTGGATCGGCTTCTGGAGACAAACAATTTCCCAGAGTTCACTGGAAGAGTGTGCCCTGCACCTTGCGAGGGATCTTGTGTACTTGGTATTATTGAGAACCCTGTATCAATCAAAAGCATAGAGTGTGCCATCATAGATAAGGCCTTCAACGAAGGATGGATGGTGCCTCGACCACCCCCTAAGAGAACTGGGTATGTCTGCTTTTTGAATCTTTAAATTTTGGGATATTTTGTTCTTGATAGATTGAATATCCTACTACACAGATAAATTCTTAATTTCATCACATTTAATTTGATTGCACTCAATCTTACAATTGTTTAAGAAGATAGACAACCTTTTCTCCTAGGATTTCATGATTATATCCTTTTTTTAGAGGCTATTTTTCTATATTGAAAGGATAAGAAGAAACAATAACTTAGTTCTTCCCGTGTTCCTCAATGCAGGAAGAGAGTTGCCATTGTAGGTAGTGGACCAGCTGGATTGGCTGCTGCTGACCAGTTAAATAAAATGGGCCATCTGGTGACAGTGTTCGAGCGTGCTGACCGTATTGGAGGGCTAATGATGTATGGTGTTCCCAACATGAAGGCCGACAAGGTGGATATTGTTCAAAGGCGGGTCAATCTTATGGCTGAAGAAGGCGTCAATTTTGTGGTAAATGCTAATGTTGGCACAGATCCCTTGTACTCCCTTGACCGACTTCGTGCAGAGAATGATGCCATTGTTTTGGCCTTAGGAGCTACAAAACCAAGGTAATCAAGGCAAGAAATCATAATTTTAACCATCACATGATGATTGCCAGACTAATGTATAAATTGGAAAACCAGTGTCATGTATGAATGCTGAATGCTAGTTCTCTAATGTGCATTGTGATGATAAAACCGAGATCTTAAGATCATTATGGTTTTGCAGGGATCTCCCTGTTCCAGGACGGGAACTGAAAGGAGTACATTTTGCCATGGAGTTTCTTCATGCCAACACCAAAAGCTTACTTGATAGTAATCTCCAAGATGGGAACTATATATCCGCCAAGGGGAAGAAAGTGGTTGTCATTGGAGGTGGTGATACTGGTACAGACTGCATAGGAACATCTATCCGTCATGGTTGCACCAGCATTGTAAATCTTGAACTTCTCCCTCAGCCACCCAAGACCAGGGCCCCTGGCAACCCTTGGCCACAGGTTTGACATTTCCTAAAATTATCACCAGAACAGTTCTTTCATTTTTTTTCTCTAAATTTCTCATAAGATACCAAAATCAATCTATTAGAAGGGGGATTCGTAATACAAGGAGGCCATCAAGCCTGAAGCCTTAGATTAGAGTTCTTTGTATGGGTAATTTGATAGGGTACCCCCACTCATTCTGACGTACGAGTGGTATAACTTACAGACCTAAGCGTTGTTGTCACTAGTAGCATATAGATGCCAAAATGCCACCAAAGCAAATAGACAGACCTAAATTGGATCTTGACCCTACGAATCCCTGACAAGCACGGTCTGTACAAGCAAGCATCAAAATTCAGCTGGATAACATTTATAAATCCTCTGATGCGTTCGCTTAAAATTATCATCCAATAATTGTCTGTGTTTGCTACTTATCCATGAAGGCCTCGGAGGAATCTTCCATAAAATGAAAACTCTCGGAATGGTTTCTTCTTCTCTTTTGCATGCCATTAGCGTTTAATTTGCCAAATGAGTACTAGTTGAGGTTTTAAGTCCCAATGGTCAAGGTTAAAAGTCTGTTAATGTGATTATTACTGTTTGACATGCTGTCTATTACTCAAGACTGGAATTTGTTTATTTTGATATCTGCCTAACTCTTTCCGTACCGTCCTTGTTTTGCAGTGGCCTCGCATATTCCGTGTGGATTACGGTCACCAGGAAGCAGCTACCAAATTTGGGAAAGATCCGAGGTCTTATGAGGTATTGACGAAGCGGTTTGTGGGCGACGAGAATGGAACAGTGAAAGGACTTGAGGTGGTGCGAGTTCAGTGGGAAAAGGATGCTAATGGAAAGTTTCAGTTCAAGGAAATTGAGGGCTCTGAGGAGATGATTGAAGCTGACCTGGTTTTCCTGGCGATGGGCTTCCTTGGTCCCGAGTCGGTGAGTGCTGTCTCCTCCCCTGCATTATGATATTTATCTCTTATTGGATTTATCATGATTTGAAATAAAAGCAATTCATGGCCAAATTGCCTTCATGAAATAAGACATCGAACTCAACCGAACCGTTTATTTATTTCCAGACAATTGCGGACCGGCTAGGCTTGGAGCGAGACAACCGATCGAATTTGAAAGCAGAGTATGGAAAATTTTCAACTAATATGGAAGGGGTATTTGCAACTGGGGATTGCAGACGAGGGCAATCACTGGTAGTCTGGGCAATCTCGGAGGGCCGTCAAGCTGCTTCCCAGGTTGACAAGTACTTGACAAGAGAAGGAAAGCATAGCACCACCAGCGGTAGCCAGTGTGATTCTGCTAAGCAGCAGCAAGACAAAAATCAATTTACTGCGAGGACATAGGCAACTTGCTCCCCCCCTATCCCTTTTTTTTTGTTCAATCTCATTTTTCTGCTATAGTGAAGTAGAAAGAAGCTTTGGTTATACAGAGCCGGCCCTGTAAAATGGGCCCATGTGCCAACAAGTGGCACTCTTCCGGTTTTGAGATGCCAAGATTGAAAATAACAGGCAATGGGTGGCTTGGCTTATTAGGAGGGAGGGCTGGTGCAAGTTGTGGTGGTCTTATGGTGTCTAATTTTTGTGGAAAAGTCTTTAGTGGCGGTCAAAGGAATAATCAATAATGTACAGTTTGCTTCATTTCGCCCATAATGTGTCAAACGCCTTTTTATTTGAATGATTTATACGTGTGGTAAGCTGGTTATGCTTTTCGTGAATTGTTTATAAAAGGTTTCTTGACAAGGATGTGCCAGTCGTTACTACTTACTCGTTAGGAATGATTTGATCTCTCTTCTTTCTGTAACGTTCAATTCAGAAACAAGTGGCAGGCTTGGCTGTTTTAACGCATATCTGATACTCCATAATCCATATATAGTGGCCTAGTGCTTATTGCCATGTTATTAGGACGATGGAGCCACGATGAACGATTCACAATGCATCAAACCTGGAAACTAGTTGTTATGAATGGGTTCAGATGAGAGAAGAAACAATTTTGCAATTCCATGCAAGGCTGTAAATGGAATGTTTTTTCATCTGTTTATGATTTGATCGAATATGGTTCTGCCCCTATCCAATCTTATATAACATTTGCTTATTTATAAATATTCAATTCAAATCTGACCCTCGATTAGAAAATTAATATAACCCCTCTTACATTCCTATCGCAGAAATGTATTATGACATGCCATTTGTTTATTTGATTAAATTTGTAATAGTAAAATAAAAAAACGTATCTCTATCACATCGAGAAAGAGTAGGGGTGCAAACCATATCTGATTGCCTGAATTTGAAACCAAACCCGAGTCCAGTGAAAGATGATCTGTCAGATCAACCGGTTTTTGACCCGGAAACAGATTGAATTCAGATCTGAGAAGTAAAGATAACCAAGGTCACGTTTGGTTATCTTTACTTCTATCTTTTGTTACTTATTCTGTGTTCCATTTTTGTCATGATATCATGTCCTTGCCCCATGATGTTAGGCATCTGTTGGCTGCAAGGTTCAAAGTATTGACACGTATCGACCTGTATCGGTTGATATGTATCATATCGGGAGCACTCTAATATGCCCCTACAGAGGGTGTATCAGTGTTTTAACCGGTTCACAGGGTGGAAGAACCTTAAACCAGTCCCTCTGAACCGATTTTGAAAAAAAAATTTAAAAAAAGTATCAATACTGCCCGATACGCCCCTACCGGCATATCGATATTTAGAACTTGGTTGGCTGTAAGTTAAATATTTTGCACAAGTACTGTTTTTTCCTTGAATTCCAATGTATCAGTGTTCTACTGTTCTTGCACTCCATAAACAAGTTTAGGCATTATTGCTCTGGTTTTTCTTATTTTTTTAAGACAATATCCGGTTTTCCTTAAKTTTCCAATAGTAACAACTCAGTTCATATTTATAGCTTTTGTACATGTCTCCAAAATTTTCCCTCCAATTGGAATTGTTTGACATGGATCCAGCAATTTATTTAAAATAGGATCTTTTGCTTTGATGGGCCATCTTTCTAAAACACAAAGTAGATTCTATTGCATGTGGCATTTTGGGCCAAGTTCTGAATATGCAGAGAGAAACTACGAGTGTCAAAATAAAAAAATATATACATTTCATTTGAGTACATTTATGAGGGTGACCAGGGTTCAAATTTGAAAGCAGCCTCTGTGCAGGGGTGAGAGGCTCAGTACATCTGTCCATCCCCAGACCCTGTATTGGCGAGACACAACATTTAAGCCCCATTAATCATTATTATTTCCACCAAATAACATTACATTCAGGTTAAGGTGTAGCACGTCCTTCCAAGAGACACCCTGGCATGAACACAAAAGGACAAATCAATATATGATTCTGAGAGTATCAGTTGGGTCACACTTAACATTAATTATTTATATATATATTACTTAGTCATTCGAACCTTAGATAAAGCAATTTTGATGCATTTCTAGGATTTACATGAGCTTTCCTAATGTATTCGAGTGTACCCTAATCATTCCACTACATCCATGTATATCCTAAGCGTATTGTGACATGTATCATAAAATTGCCATTCCAATTCGATACCAACATTTTGATCCTTGGGACCAACTGAGGGTGATCCAGAAGATGAAATTTAAACATTTCTAATCTGATCAATTATTGCCTGTCCAAATCTGACCAAGTACTATATTTTCAATGTAGTTCCAATAAATAAAAGAGTTAGAATTTTGTGTGTGGTTTCAAATGTGGATCAGATATTAGTAGTAACTCCGTGCATGGTTTCAATTTGCTTCCTTTTTCTTTATTTAATTTTTTGATCAATAATCCTTTTTCCTTATTTACTTTTATTGAAGTTCATTAATACATTAATCACTTGCTTGAAAATCATGAAAATACAAAATTCTGAAAATGTTTGTAATTTCACAACAGGAAAATGTAATGAAGTATAGATATCCAACTTACCACTATCCTTTTTKGGGACATCTCAGTTACAGGTATCAGAAGCATCCACCCAACTGCAAAGAATTAACCAAAAAAAAAGGTTGATATTCAGCAACAAGTCAAGCAAACAGAGCAATCAAATCATGATATTGACCTACTTCTCTGAGCATGGTACACATGCAAAGGGGACCTAGGTGAACCTCTGCTGAATGAATGGTTCTAACCCTATGGTAGATAGATTCTGTTCAAGATCATTGTTTAGATTGTCTTGTAAAGTAGTGATCAAATAAATAACTACATCGAACAAATTAAGAAATCGAAGAAAATCATGGATGAGGTACTCCAGCTGTTCAGAGGTTAGATTACAGTTTCCATGTTAGTTTTTATATACAACACAAACAGCTGCCTCTTAAAAAGGGTTGTAGAGAGATGGTATATGTTTATATCACACAGTCAACCTAGACTGTTAACCTGGCATGCAATTATTTGGATTGACAATGTACATAACCATGTCCTGGTCCATCATGGACTATCTCTGCCATGGCCCCATGAATAACAGCCTCTGACATTTACATTTTTATTGTTTCAGATATCAACAGGCAATAAAGGGGATTGTGCCAAATAAACCAAGGCATTTGCCCATTTGGTTTGATACTTTGACATTAGGAGATGGAAATATGGCAACCAAATATAAATATTTTGGCTGCAATGTTAAATGACATGTGCCTTCCAATTAAAAAATTAAGCTATCATATAACAATTCATCAACTATTAATTAGCAAGGAGGTGTTACAAACCAAAACAGCCTCAATCTCCCTGTCAGACACTGGTGTACGCTTTGGCTGAAGGGAAGCCTTCCCTCCTACAGCAGTGTTAGTAGGAGAAGCTGGAACTTCTGACCTTGAAAAGAAAGTCTGATGGGTATTGCTTCCGGTTGACTCCGCTTTTGGTTGGGATGCAGAACCTATGTATGCATTGCCTTAATGGTTAGATGAATGATAATTATTGATTACCTTGATAGGTAAACGAATGGGGAATCATTAGATATAATTAGATTTGAACGAACCGAAAATAACTTAATACTAAAAACAATAAACAGAGAAGATAGTGCCTGGATAAAGAATAGGAGTAGTGTACTCAAAAACATGGAAATTGCCTCTGCTGAAGGTTATTTGTATAACTACTATTTGCAGTTTGAATTTTTTTTGGCTAAAGAAAATTGAATGTTTATTCAATTAAATTAGGTTTTTATCAATAAAAAAAAAAATCAATTAGCACAGCTTGTTTTGTTACCTGAGGTCATATAATCCATAACAAGTTGGTATTCACAACAGAGAGGAGGTATCAGGGTCACCCAACTGAAGGCCGGACCAACATAGATTATTTATTTATTTWTTTTTTGTGGATACTTTATTAATTTTAATAATCAATAGAACAGTCTTACTAAAGAATCAAAAGAGATACGAAGAAAGGTACATTATTAATTCATTCCGTATTTGGTATAACTGTGAACTAATTACTCAATGAAAGCACAAATAAATAATATACTTATATAGTTTGGTAAGCAGGGAAGTTTCTATAAGTGATTGCTAATGATGTTTGACAAAGAAAAGAAATGTGATAATTAATAATTTGCAAAAGAGATGTATGTGTAATAAAAATAAATTTTAGATGTAGTGTCCTTGTTATATGGCTAACAATGATTTAAAAATCTGCAAAGTATCTAGCTCCTAATGCTGGTTTGGTGTCATACAATGCATATATGTTAATTATAGACTATATACAAGTAGTTTTAGCACCTAAATATGGTAATTTCCTAAATATTACATTTTAATGAAATGTCATTTTATGAGAATTATATATACCCAAACATGAAGCAGGAGGTGGCTTTTCTCCCAAAAGCCAGAGCACCATACCTAGGATCCGTAAACAAGTAACTGATGGGTCATTTACGTCACATGGATTCTACTAAATCAAAAATTTGTTACTCCAGCTACCAACTAGAGTCTGCTGCAACACTTTCAATTCTTTTGCTATTACTATCTTTGCTTGCACAGTGAGAACTAATATCTTCAGCATAGCATGGGCTCAGCCGTTTCTGTTGCCTGTAGAACATCCAGATAATACATAAATTCATCCCAATATATCCACAATAATCCTTATTATTGTGTAAAAATTGCATTTTTTTTTAATTCCTAGGTCGACTAAAGATACTACCTGCCAAATCTATCACCTAATCTGGTAAGATGTTGCAATACATCATGGGATGAAAACCAGGAATGTGAGTATTTATCCATGCACCATTGCGCCAATCATAGGCATCTGATCGGCTGGGTATTTAAGAATTTCCATTCCATTTGGGTGAACATAAAAGAAATAAAATGATTCCACAGAAATGCTATCCTACAGTGTTTGATTGCACGTGAAATGGCCATGGAATGATGGAAAACAAACAATTTTCATTAAATATTTCAAAGAAGTTGATATTCCTTCTAATTTTCTGTAGGACATTTTCCGAGCAGACCAGAAAGTCGGTCCTCTAGACTCAAATCTTGCCACACCGCACGCTTCACAATCATTCAAGTTTATTTTAGAAGTTAAACCAAACATCTGGAAAATTAAGAAATGATTCGTTTTCCTATTGAGTATCATTTTCCCAAGAAATCGTTCATTTTCCTGTGTTTTACGTGCAACAAAATACAGCCTTAGAGAAAATAACGTAAAGAAAAGGCATAAGCCCTGAAAATATTCATCTACCAAACATAATATCTTCGATCAACTTGACGCACTTTGTAAAACCCTAGATTTTCTTTAACCAGATGATAAGACAAATCACCAGTAAACATCCCATTTAGGTTTCAAGAATAATCAAAACTAAATATGTATAGAAAGAAATATCATTCCCAGATCAACACGTATAGAGAGATTACAGAAGTTAAATCAACGAAAAAAATTGAATGCTCTGGGACAGACCTGAGGGCTTTGGATGCTTTTGTGGAAACTTAATGCGTGGAATTCGCTTCATCACCTGTGCTCCGGCCATCTCTCTCTCCAAGAAGAAGGTTCATTCGGTCATGCAGAGAAAGGGTGTTCTTGGTTCTAGCACTTGAGAGAGGCAGAGCTCGTCCAACACGGTATCATGATCAATGTTCCTTAGTCTAAGATGGAGCAAAGCCGAATTCCTAGGTTGGGTTGGGCTGGGCCCAAAGGCCCCAAGGCCCAAACAATGCAAGCCCTTGTGACCCCCAAATGGTTAATAACAGTATTGTCAGACTCGGCCGGATCGGACTTATTTTGGGACAATTCCCGTTTAATACCCTGTACTTTGGGTCTAGTGTCACTTTGGTCCCCAAACTTTAAAATGTGATAATTCAATACTCAAATTTTTAAACTGTATCAATCCAATACTTGTCGTTAATCAATCATTAAGTGACATTTGAAAAGATACAAATGCCCTTTGAGGGTCATCTAATTTTCTTTATCAACCATCGGCATGTTGATAAAAATGAACAGTCTTAAATCCTTGCCTCTTATATTAAATATAGTTAGGGTTAAGTCTCAGTGGGGCATCTTGATAACCCCAACATTCTTGATTAGAAGAGGCAAAGATTTGGGTATGTTCATTTTTTGTTAATATTTAGATGTTGATAAAAAGAATTAGATGACATTTGAAGGATATTTATGTTTTTTCATATGACACTTAACAGCTGGTTAATAGGCCGGTTAATGACAGGTATTAGATTGGCACGTTTTAAAAGTTTGAATACTAAATTTTTGCGTTTTAAAGTTCGGAAACCAAAGTGGCACAGGGTACTAATATAAAATTTTTCTTTTTTTTTATAGAAAAAAAGATGTACTACACAAAATGGGGGTAACATGACCCCAGAAGTCCTTCAAACAAATAAAATAAAGGTCTTTAGGAAGATTACAAAAATTAAAAGAAACATAACCATTAGGAGAAGACAGCGCCATGTGAGCAAGCCAATCGCCACCTGATTCACCTCTCTAAACACATGTCTGTAATCACACCTTACCATTCATCATTTCCTTCATCTACAAGCATCCCGAAATGATGTTCATAAAATTCTATGGAGGAGAGATCAGACCTTTTTGAGACAGCAAATAACAATCTTCGAGTCCCCCTCAAATGGTGCATCTCAATTCTCTCTAATGGGTCTTTCTATAATTCCATGGAATGCCATTTCATGGATTCCAATTCCATGCTACACGTCACATTCTTGTTTCTTCCCATTCAACCTCATCCATCAGGACTCATATTCAACACGGATTCGCGTTTTTTAGTCGTTGTTTCTTTCAAATCAGTACTTCAATTGATTTGTTTACTTTGTTAACATGCGATTGTTTAATTCTGTAATTTCCTTCTTCAATTGACTAATGGAATCGCGAATTCTATTGCAAATGTTAAAATGATTTTTAATGTATATACTAAGGATACTTTTTTATTTCAAAATATATTTTGGAGACAAAACTAATAACCCCTAACTTATTATACATAAGACCATGATCGGACTTTGTCATGGTGCGTCAGGTGGCTAGTTTTTTCTCATGTTGGACATGGTAACAAGAAAGAAAGTTTATTAAGGTTATGTTTGGTTTGAAGGAAAAGTAGGGAAAGGAAGCAGGGAAACCTATACAAGGTTGTAAGGGTTTTCCTACCTTTCCCTTCCTTTCCTTACCTTTTCCTTCAAACTAAACAAGGTCTAAAATAATCTCATCTATATTTCATGATTAATTTGTCTGGATTAGGTTGTTCATAAGAAGACCCAACCCGACCAAACCGATTTGACTGGGTTTTCTTCACCACTGGTCAGTTTCGGGTTATAAAAAATCATAAACCGATGATATGGTTCGGTTTCGGTACCGACCCGACCCGAACCGACTTAGTAGTTAGTTACTAGTTAGTAGTTACAACCTATTTAGTTCTTCACTATTGAGTTCATCAGGAGGTATGTTATAAACATTAAAGATGATCCAAGACCCATCACTCCATCGGTGAATAAAAAAAGAGTACATGAATAAATGTTTGCCTTAAATTTCAGTATTTCACCACTACTTTTCTATAGTAGCAGAGAGCGTCTTCTTAGCTTTTGTTGGATCCGACCGGATTTGATAGTTTGATCCATCCATTATATAGTTTCCTACATATTGAAATCTTACTCCAACAAATAGTACTCTCAAACTCTGCTCCCTCCACAAAATCTGGATCCATAGATGGGCTACAAAACATGAAGGAAATGCCGGTTTCCTTGGGGAATGTAGAGCTAGAAATGAACAGCAATTGAGTCACCACTACGTAGAGTCGAAACCGACCCAAATCGACCCAAACCGACTCAAACCGATCAGGTCAGTTTTGCTTAACACAGGGTCGATTTCGGTTTCAATTTCAGGTAACCCGACCAGGTCAGGTCGGTTGGAAAAACATCAGTATACGACCTAACCCGAYCCATGAACAGCCCTAGTCTGGATTAATGTTTTAAGACTCGGCGTGGACCGGCTGGTCGAACCATAAAAATGGGAACCAATAACCTTTTTGGGTCCTAGTTAATTAAATAACAGTTTTGATGGGTTGGATGGGCAAACCTCCCGATTAACCGATAAAATCAGGACCCAGAGAGCATTCTGGTTGTTATTCCGGTCCGAGTCTTAAAACCATGGTTTTCAAAGCCGGACCGGACCAGACAGTTGGACCAAAAAAATCAGTAACGGTCAGGTGGCTAATTTCATTTTACCCCGTAACTATTATTTTGCCAAAAACCATTGATTTAGTCAGCAAATTACTAACAGTTTTGACCATTTTTTATTAGAACGGACCATCCGTTCAATTTGAACAACCGGACCATTCAACCCCAGAACGAGACCCTGATCGATCGGTGTCCTGATTCGATTTTAAAAACCTTGCTTAAAACAAAACACGATGTAACATCGTTAGGTAAGGCTGATAAGCATTAAGCAATCCATACAAATAAAATAAACGTAATTTGTTCATGTATAGACAGATTCTTTGACAACAATCGGTCAATTGTTCATCTTTCCTTTTTCGTGGAAAGTGATAATTACGAGTTTACGACAACCCATCAACAAAATGAACAAACAATGAGTGTGAATATCCGCTCTTCCCTCTTATTATTAATATGCTGTGTTTGGTTTGAAAGAAAGGAAAGGAAATGAGATGTAGAAAAATCTTTACAGGCCTTATATAAGTTTCTTTTCCTTTCAAACCAAACACAACCTTAATTGTTTATGCGAGTTTGCACTGCAGAGGAGAGCTGTGAGTGTGTGTGTATTGTGCATTCTTCACCACAGAAACATGCATCAATAGGCAATCATCCAAATTAATCCTGCTACTGAAGAATGGGTATGAGTGATGAGAAGCTTGATCATACATACACAAAGTAAAGGAATAGAGTAGTGAGAATCATTTGAAGAAGAAAAGCAAAATTTTAGTCTTTTAGACAGAAGTTTAATTCATGTTACTAAGTATAAGTACAGATGGGARACTCAAAGAGAAGGAAAAGAAGGAGCATTAAGATGGACAGAACAGAGAAGGAAATTAGTATCAAAGACTCATTTATCCATCTCATATACCTCAGGGTCCTCCATGATGCTTTCTAAAGAAGGTTTCCACCCTTCAACCTTTCCTCCTCTGCCATTCTCTATTTCTCCCAGAATATATTCTAATTTCTTCCCTCCTTTCTCCTTCAACTGAAGCATCAACCACTCCAGCTCCTCTCTTGTCAATACTAGTTTCACCCTAAAACCACTCTTTCCAAAATCTTCCTTAGCTTCACCACCTACCTTCAGTTCTTCATCTTCTTGATGTTCTTTCTTCTCTCCTTGTTGACCATGCTTCCATGTCTCCAGACAATTGCCCATTATATTGATCGATATCCCAGTGTAGGAAAACCACCTTTTCCTCTCAAAAGTATTTAGCGGTCGAGGCAGACAATACAGAGACCGCGCTTATGAAAGATAAGAAGCAGACTCAGAACAGAAAACCACTTCAAGTAGTAAGTGGCTCCACAGAGGTCTCACCTTGTGACCATTGCGTGAGAAGGAGACTGAGTGCAAATGGGTATATATCAAGAGAAAAAAGAAATCTGTAATTAAAAAAATGAAGATTTCTGTTGGTTGAGTAGTTAATTATTAGATTATGGAAGATCCAAAGCGGAAAAAAGAAAGTACTTTTCCTTCCTTTGATATTAATAATTGAACTTTAATAGCAACCCCATTGTTTTAATCCAGTTTTTTAGCGTTAGGCTCTTGACTGTATTGTCTGCAAACTGCAGACTGAAGGAGTGATTCCAGGAGGAAGGGAAAAGAGACAACACCCATGTCGTTATCGTTACGACTGTTGGAAAATGACTCTACCATTAATCAAGCTTTTTCATTCTCTGCCAAATGTGAGCGAAACGTAAAGCGATCAAGGCCCAAATCTCGGCGCTTTTGTTAGTGTCCTCCTACCTTGATGCCGGACAGGACCGGAGAGGACCAGACACTGCGAAAGGAAATGAGTGATGGACAGCCAGCTCAGGCTCAGCTATGCATATGAAGGCGGCGAGTATGAGGTGAAGTGACTCGCTTTGGGAGTTGGTGTTTGAGAAAGGAAAATCCAACCTCGTCGGTCCGTCCCAACTCTTTTTTGTCGTCTCCGTCTGAATCCGATTGCCCTTCGGCCCAAATCTCCGTCCGTCCGTGTCTACCGGGCGTTTTGACGTTTTGTGCAGATATTTATTTCCACGTCTTTATAATATATATTATCATGCTGTTAATGGTTCCCAAAATTCTAATTTTTCCACTCTATCTTGTACTGTTGAAGCCCGGATTCCCTTTAGTTGACTCCAATTCCAAACTGTATCAAGATTGCTTTCTTGTACTTGCAATGAAGCTGTAGTAAGACAGTAAGAGCAGTGTTTTTGGACCCTCTTTGACACAGAGAGTCGGACAGTCCGACCGTTCAGCCTCCTAATCATTCAGGCATACGGTTCTATTTCATTTCATCCTTAATCTGTTTTTTTTTTTTTTTTTTGTAAAAAATCAGTAGACTGTATCTTCACGAGATTTTCCTACTCTTTGTAGTTTTTTGCTTTAAATGAAATCCCAACGGGACCCATCCTACAGAAGATGACAGAAAAGGGTGATCACCCTTCACATGATCGATTACTATTAGCATCCTTTAAAAAACTACCTACAGTTGCTTTTATTTTCACGCAAATTGTAAAAAGGAGTGGAAAGCAAGGTTCAAAGATTTTCCTTCCCTTTTGTAATACAAGAAGTCAAAAGAAGAAGCCGAAAAACAGGAAAGCAAATCACCAATTAATGATGGTTATTTGTTCGATTATGATACCAAAAACCAATTAAATGATTAATTAATGACAGTTTTTTTTTGTTTTTTCCTTTTGAATTGGGAATCAAATTTTGTGCTGAAGATATTAGAACAACTAATATCATGTAAATAGATTCATATCCTCCGTTACCAATTATGTAAAGGGTAAATGCATGGAGTCCAGATCTCCGGACCACCAGAATTCTGCCCACGCTTACCCATAATACACTACCCCCGTGAATTGATGCCAGAAGCTATGATATTGAAAGAACTTTGACCAATCAATCCCAAAGTATAAAGTATTTTGATGAATATCATCTCAATTGGTTATCAGTTGATTGGTTATAAGTTTTTTCAATATCATAATCAAACACTTAATTTATATTGGCATTTGAAGCAAAACTGATGTAATTATGTTATTGATGATATCCCATCATCATGTTTAACATTTTTTAGGGGGAGTACATGTGGTGACAGTGGGCTGTGTATATAGTGCTCCCATTGGGTAAGTGGGAACAAATCATTCAAGATGGTCTATAGCGCAGACCTCAAACAAAAGATAGTCTTTTCAAAACAATGACCCTTTACCTGTGAATAAGTGTGAGATATGCGGCTAAATATTATAGTTCTAGGTCTATGATCTTGTTCTGATTAATAATCAATTTGGAACTGAGACTGAGACTACTCTACCAAGTCCTAGGCATTTAATACAGGGGAAAGCCTGCTCTTCTACAGGTTTGAATCTGCACACTGAGGATGCCAAGTAACTATCTGAACTGCTACTAGGTATTGGCATCAGCATACTTAATGATAAGAAGTTTTTGGGTATTAAACAATGAGGATTGAGGATTTAACCATTAACCTGACAATTGGTATAACTGTATAACCTTCAATGAGTGTCTAAAATTTAAATGAAAGTTTAGAATAATAAAAAAAATCAAGTAAATTAAAACATCACCGTCGAAGCTAAGGCTGTAATTTGATATGATTTGATTATTACTTTAGACGCCTGATCTGATTTTGAATCGGATCCAACCAAACCCATATCCAATTTTAGAGGTGTACATCGGGTTGTACTGCCCATGATCTGGCATGATTTTGAGCTAGTCCGGCCTAGCCCGATGGTTCACAGGCTTTGTCGTGCTGCCCATAGCTCGTGGGCTAGCATGGCCATGGCCCAGCCCGCAGTGAACGCGTGGCCCACCCGAAGAACTAGCTGTTGGAGACACCCCCCCCCCTAATGGCTAGTTTCAACTTTTGGGAGGGGTTATACAAATACGTCCCAACAGCTATAAACAACTACATGGGTGGGTGTTTATGTATTTTGGATTTGGGGGAGATAAAATGATAATAATGCCCCCAATAACTATATAATAGCTAGTTTAGGTAAAGTGATCAAAGACTTTATAATAATAAAAAAAAAATATTTAGTTCTTGCCAGCATGGAACATGATCTACTAACCCCTCCAATCTCTAAGTGCCATCGGAATCTTATTTTAGTGCAGATACTAGAGTGCTGGACAATAAGAAAAGCTGCATAAATGATAAAAGTTTGCATATGTGCATTGCCTCAAAGATACGCTGAGAATATATTACAACACAAAGGAGGGCATGACATTGCACCTAATGTTTCATTTGAAATAGATGATGAAAATCAAGGAGATGATTAGATGAAGATGCATGTGGAGGTGGAACTTAAAGAAAAATGATGAAATTAATATTTTTTATTTTTTTGCATACTCAATATTTCAATTATTGTAAAATTTTTCAATTATGTATTTTTTCAATTTTATTTAAATTAGTTGTTATTTTTTCAACAATGTAGTTTTTTTTATTTTCAATTTATAAATTAATGTATTATATTTTTTATATTTTATTCCATTTTCTACATTTCATTCATCCATTGACCATTTGTATTGTTCAAATTCAAAAAATAAAATTCTTATTTGTTTCCAATTTGTTATCCATTTTGTATTTTATTGAGTAATAAGTATTTTTTTCATTTCTTTGTTAGATTTTTTATTTTTCCAATTTGTTCCCAAAGATCAAAGAAATTAAAGAAAATGAAGTATTTCAGTTTTAGTGTTTACTTAACAAAAAAAAATCAAAATGTCAAAAAACGAAAAAAAAAAAACAATTTGGCTCAATTCGGCCCATAACCCAACCTGACACGGGCCAAGCCCACGGCATGGCCCACAACCTGCCCGACCCAGGTCCACGGCATGAAACAGGCTCGAGCTGTGCCAGGCTGACCCCACGAAATATCACAGGGGAGGAAAGCACGGCACGCACGCGGTCGTGCCATGCCAGCCCAATAGGACCCGATTTACACCTCTGAACCAATTCAATTAGTTAAACCTTAAATCTAGATTCAGCTTAAAATCCATAGATGTAAGGATCTCAAATGATAACATAAAGCACGGGATCTGCTGGCAGCAAAAAGCCTACTAAGATCTTGTAATTATATGTTAAATTCATTGGGAGATGTTCCTCATGTGCAACTCGACGACTTGCTCTCAACATCTATGCATACTTTTTTCTTTCAAGAAATTATGTGTATAATTTTCTAGTTAGTTAAAGGTTTTCATGTACTATGTGTTGCATGCATTTTTCAGCAATCTGAGACCCATGTAATATGTGTTGCACGCATTTTTTTTCATCTTTGGCTGGGAGCTAGAGGTTCAAGCATCCAACTCAAATAGGTCAACCTATGATATCAGAATTAAATTAAAAAAATTAAAAACAAATAGTAATACAAAAAATTATAAAAACATACAAAATTTTGATAGAAAAAATTATGCACATTTATAATATTATATATTCATCATAATAAACCAAAATGTGTGATAAACAATAATTATTTCTATCAATGATAGAAATAGAATATAAAATTTAAAAATTCAAAAAACAAATAGAAAATGGTGTTGTTTTTCTATCTAAGTAACAAGTCAGTGGTTAAACCTCCAAGTTAAATAAGTCAACCTAGTATGTCATAATAAAATAATAAAAATTTAAAATAGACAAAAATTGTATAAAATTTACTTGCATTTCTAATAATATATATTCATCACATTAAACCAAAGAAGTATGATAAATAAGAATTATTTGTATTAACGATGGAGATAGAATACAAAATCTAAACATACCGAAATCAAAACCATTTTCACATCCAAGTGTTAAATTCAATGGTTCAATCATCTAGGTTAAATGGGTCAATACATAATGTCATAATTAAAAAATGGAAATTTGAAAGTTAGATAGAAATACAAAAAAGCTATAGAAATTTGTAGAAAAAATTTAAGTACATCTCTAATATATATAAAGAGAATTAATGCCCAATCAATGACCCATTGGCTGGGTCAAACAGATCAGTCATACAACCAATCAAATTATTAGGTTGTTGACCAAGTCAATTTTTTTTCCAATAAAAAAATTTGGATTAAAACAAGTCAGGTYKGGTGAAGATTGGGTTGCAACTTGGATTGGCCCCACTTAGAATTTTACACTGTTTTAGGCTCTGATCTTTGGGCTGGGCCCATTGAAATTTTGACAAAGGCCCAACCAAAGGCCACCTAAGTAGACCTGTTCATGGGC